CTTTTTGTTGTGCTCAAATGCTGCCTTTTTGAAATTTGGTTTGCTTGTTTGTCTATGGTGTAGAATGATGTGATTGTGATGCTGTATTTCTGAGTGTTTTATGTGCTGCAGAACAGGAACCTGCAGTAAAACAGCAATTATGCTGAGTCAGGCTTGATTTTTAGTGATTTTTTTTCCCTGTTGAATCAATAAATCAAATCAAATCAATATTGTCCAAGATTAACCTTCAGGGTGGATATAGCTCGCTCACACTGAGGACCTATGCACGTCATAATTTACCCATAATGCTTTGCGTGTAAATAAAATGGCTCCGTCCGTGTTAAAATATACCTTAAAAAATTTACAAAACTAAACAGCCTACAGTATTTTTACAGTCTTTATTTTACAGTTAAAATATATGTTCATCAAATAAAGTCGAATGTTACAACTAATCGTGGATCCCTTTAATCAATAGCCTTCAAACTAAGGAGATTATACAGCTTCCCTCTGTTTGTCCTGCAGGGCCCATTGAAAGGCTTCTTGGAAGTTTTGGGGAAACTACAGAAGAAGTTTTACGCCAAAGGTCAGCGCATGGACTGCCCCATCCGGACCTACCTGGTGACGGCTCGCAGCGCGGCCAGCTCTGGTGCCAGGGCCCTGAAGACGCTGCGCTCGTGGGGCCTGGAGATCGACGAGGCCCTGTTCCTCGCGGGAGCACCCAAAGGCCCGATGCTGGAGAAGATCCGACCTCACATCTTCTTCGACGACCAGATGTTTCAYGTGGAGGGGGCAGCGGAGATGGGGACGGTGGCGTGCCACGTGCCCTATGGCATTGCCCAGAGGATCCCGAGGAAAGGAGTTAAAGACAAAGAGACGTCTCCTGCAGTTAAGTAGCACAAAATGTCCTTGTGGACGCACGCATCGTTTTGGTCCTACAGCTGCATGATAGGTGTAACCACTGCTGAAGGCGCAAAACTCAAGAATTAAACTCCATCTGATGGAATTTCATGTTTATGATCGCACAAACCACAAATTTTTTTTTAGAAAAGTTTATCAAGAACTGGTTTGAAATATTATCTTATTTACACAAGAAAATCCATTTAACAAAACATTTAGTGAAACCTTATGAAATATTCAAAACGTCCGATTGTTTTTGGAAGAATTTATATTAAAACATATTTTTTATTTGCTCACAAGTATTTACAGCTAAATGTTCTTTTTTTTTGGTATAGCCAACAAAAAAAAAATTCCTTTTTATTTTTTCCACCGTGCAGTTTAAGTTTTATTGCACATTAAAAATAACTGAGGCTGACAAAAGTCCTTCACGTTGGTCTAATGAAATATCAAAATTAAACAATAAAAGGCAATAAATTATAAGATAACTAATTAAAAACAAAAACACAATAAAAAGTATGAATAAAAAACTTTAGTAGCAACAACACAAAAACTGCTGAATCATTAAAAGCGTTAAAATTTACTTTGTTAGAAATTCATTTTAACCAAAACCTTGTGTATTTTCTGTATAGATATATTTTGTTGAACTCCCTATAAAAATAAAGTATATAAACAATACTCAGAAATATTAGGAAGTAAAAGCTCTACAGATATTAAGTATTTATTTAGGCAGAAGAGAGAAACAAGAAGTTATTTTTGTAAATTCTGATTTTATGCAGATTTGGGGATTTGTGCAATTCCACATGAAGCGGTGCCTTTTCTCACAGTTCTGTTTTTGTTCTGCTCTGTTTGTGTTGTAACGTCTTCAGCACAGCTGGTGCAGCTTTAATGTTTGTTCCTGAAGTGCTGAATGTTCTGATGTTTCTGCAGCATTTCTAATTCTGTTGTTTTTTTTWAATTAATGTCCTGTTAAAACATGAAGTCACTTCTGTGTCTGATGAAAGATGTTATTTGATTTAACATTTTAATAAAACTGAGTGAGTTAAAATAAAAGTGTCCACTTCATTTTTAAATAATTTTTTAATAACACTTAACATTTACTTGACAATTAGATTTTGTAGAAAAAAAAACACATAAAAAGCAGCCTGAAAGGCCAAAATATGATTCTTTCTTTTACAGCAGTAGGACACAGAGCACTTTTTTTTTGTTTTAAGTTCTTACAGGACCAGATGACAAGTTACTGAAAAATATTTTGAATCGTTGGAGCAGAAACACGTTAAACATGCAGGACAGCGTTCAAACAGTGTTTTCCAAAGTGGGGTCCACAGAAAGCTGGAGGGAAATAAAGTCATATCTAATAAATCTTTGAAAGCATTACCATAAAACCAACAATCATTTTTTTAAAATACAGTTCACAATAATATAATGAAATCAGCATGGGTTTTATCCTGTGAGCTTCATCTCTGCTTTTATCTGAGGATTTCCAGGATGTTTCTGCTGATGATGAACCAAAGTGATGGTTTCACTTTCAGGAAGAAACTGAAGATGCAGAAACATCTCACGGCTGCTTGTTAAAGATTTGGATCTGCTGTCAGATGATGTGTAAAAAAAAAGGTAGAGTGAAAACTGAAGAGGAATTAACGGAGCTGAAGTGCTAAAGAGAGATTTGATTTCTTTTGTTCTGTTCTTATCGTCAACAATTTGTTAAAAATTGCTTTTTCAGTAGGAATATAAGTGTTTAAAACAGTTAATATAATTGTTATGCCAAACATAAGTAATAATTATCGAATAGTGAATAAAAGTTGATGTTTCATATTTTTTAGCATTGTTTTATTGGTTTACAGGGGGGGTCCCCACATAGAATCTAACGCTATTAGGGGGGGGGGGGGCATGGCATGGAAAAGTTTGGGAACCCCTGTGTTAAAAAAACATCACAAAAAATAACAATACTTAACTTAACAAAACCAATTTTAAACAGTTTGTGTTATTTTACAGAGGCCAGGGAGAGTAGTTTACAAGAGAAAAATGACAGAAACTTAAAAAACAAACAAAAAAAAATAGATATTTAAACTGACAGCAGGGGGCGACAGAATCAACATTTATTATTATCTAATGTAGAGTAAGTGTTTGCAGTGATTACATGCTGTGATGCAGATTGATATTTAAAATAATTTCGGAAAACAAGACGAGAACTTCAGCGGAATCGTCTCAACAGTCCTGTAACTGCTCCGACGCCTCCTGCTCCAGCGCCGGCGACAATAGCTTTTGTGGTTAATGTCAGGCCAGCAGCACCTGCAGGAAAACAAAACAAACAAAACAAAACAAAACAAACAAACAAATAAAAAACAATTCAAAGCTTTAATAAACATCATGGCAAAATCAAATGTTTGACTCAGCAACACCTCACAGCTACAGAGCTGATTATGTGTTCAGTGTAGGTTATTGTGGTGATTATTAACCCTTTATATCTGTTTACTGTTATTTAATATTAGCTGTTGAGTCCACTGACGTGGTTGTAAAAAAAAACTACAATTACCTGCAGATTGCAGAAGAGCCACCAGACTCCCTGCTGCCACGCCCCCACCATTAGCAATGGCAGCAGATGACATCATGCCTGCAGCGTAGGAGCCAACTGATATTCCAGCTGAGGTGAAACCCACGGCCCCAAGAACTAAAGGAGCGGCGGCCACTGCTCCAACTGGATGTGGACGAGATAAGAAACAGCGTTATTGTGTTCAAATAAAAAAAAGTGGCCTTAAAATAAAAAAATCTCGTACATTTTAAATTGCATCAGTAGTGTAATTACTGTTTTCCTGATTTTTAGTGTTATGTATGTTTATTGGCAGTTTATTGGCTGTGTACTATTTCAAACGTTCATTAATCAAAACATTCAGCTCATTCAGGAGATTGGCTGCTTTGACTTTTGTTTATTTTTTTTTGCAATATTTAAACTTTTTAAAGTAATTAGCTTTCTTTACAAATTAAAATAAGTCTGCTATCTTAAAATGCTTTGAAATCTCAATAAATTCTTTAAAAACATGGTTCTCTTTGAATCGTGACTGTATTTTGCCAATAATAAACAAGGTATAGTGCTAGTTAATGATTATTTGATTCTACAAGCTATGGTGATTATTGTGAGTCACTCTTTTTATTTTTTTACAATCAACTGACCTTAAAAAATGATTTGAGATTCAATAAACTAAAAATCAATTGCTGTTATTTAACAACTTTAACGCTGGTTTTAATTTTATTTCTACTGAGTAGTGCAGTGGCCCCACTTACTGCGTATGCACCACGTCATCTCTTTACAAATGCTAATTCGGATAATACAAACTTTATTTAAAAGTTAAAATATTTTTAATTAGCTAGCATTTAGCTAATTTTAGTTCTATTTCGTGTAAGCTCCGCCCTCTAAGGCTATCGCAGATGGGTACCCCCGCGCGCGCGCTCGCGCATTCTGAAG